GTTTATTGATTTCTCTTTCCTATTACGTTTCTTAGGGATATTATTTATTTTAAGAATTAAAAGGATACTTTAATTGAAAGTATTAAGCAATAAATCTTGTAATCAAATGGCTAGTTACGTTTAGTTTAGAAATTATTGCATTTGATTTAATGTACTCCTACACAAAGCTCATGTATATCGCTGCGCGCTTGCATAGACTCATTTGTGCGCTCTTTATGATCAAATTGCAACAGCATAACGCTAATGTATTCAGCATCATACAGAGTATTCCGCGCTTCCCTCTACGAAGCTATGCAAAATAAAATAAAATTATCACATCTTAATTCGAATAGCAAACAAATGGCGCTGTATAATAATTTTTCAGCAATAAATAATATTGGGAAAAAATCCATTGCTGCTAATTATGACGCTGAAGACTGCCAGCTTCATCCGCGACAGGACGACGTGTTCGTCATTGAACTTTTTTATGCACTTAATTGGTCCCCTATCGTATCGTCTGAATATGCGCCGGCGATACATGCGAGAAAAATATTTAAAAGGCAGTTAATCAATCGCGTCTGCAGTGATTATCGGACCGACGTGCGCGGTATATTTCCTGCAGGAATAATTTTGGTCAACGTCATCGGGGTTACTCGGCGGTAAACTACAAAGAGGTAGCCAGTCTTTGTTATAACCAATTTTTAAATCTCACAGCATATCATGTGACGTTTTAATGCCGAATTGTTAGCCGTATTTGTAGAAAAAAATTCAAGAAACTTGTTATTAATGGATTTGGTATCATTTATTTCTCTGCTGTTAATGGCGACGCCTTTTAAATTGTTATCACTCAAACCCTGCCTTAAAACGCTAATTTGTGCTGATTATCGGTGAACCATGACTTATCGATCACACTTCATGTGCAGCATTTGCAGTCACATATAAGTACATACGTACATATATCCGTATGTACTTACAAACTGATTGATCTGCGATAAGAGGCGATCAAGATTGTTCGATTTCTCAAGAACGTCGGGTAAAAGATTACCGATCGTTTCGTCGAAAGAGATATTAAGATAAGGAACAACACATGTAAAAATCGAAAAAAATGGACTTTGATAGCTCAGGCGAACAAATCATTGCAGAAGAAAAGAGTTGCAAAGCAAATGAAACAGAAATCGTGGAGAACGAATAATGTACAAAAGAAAATAAGTATTTTCGGCACGAGGAAAAGTCATATTATAATTCAGTATATAAATCATGAATAAAGAATGTATCGCGGATAAAGAGCGGTCCAAAAGTAGCGAAGATAAAAGAAGGAAAAGATTATGATAAAGCCAGAAGGAAATGTAGTAAAACAACAATTGGCAAGTGCAATGAGTGAACTGTGCATAAATAAGGATATGCAAGTACATTAAAAACAACAAATGGAGATATGAAAATAATACAAACGCAAAGTGCGCACTAGCGATACGCGCAAGATGAAAAGAATAGAATCAACTTCTATTGTAAGAAAAAAAAAAAGAAAATTTGCAAAAGTGAAGTGTATGATACAGCACTAAATGTAACAAGTATATGTGATACCTTGACGGAGCAGAAATTGAACCTGTCTTCAAGAGCAAATACGAAACAAAAAGAAGAAAATATTTCCTATCCTAAGATTATTGATGATTAAATGTATTGATCAATGTATCAGTCAACACATTCGTAAGTCAAAAGATATAATAAATTCTTCAAACATTCAAGATACATAAAAATAAATAAAAATAGAAATTCTGAAGAAAAGTGAAAAACGTATAGATCTTCTGTTACACTAAAATACAATGCGCGGAATAAGCGAGACAGTCTTGGAGGCAGCAAGGCAGCGAACGACGGATTCGCGAAGGAAGAAAATTCGCGTGAACGCAATTTCCAAAGATCGTTCCCTGCACTGGGACCGAGATGGTCGAACACAGACAGACAAGAGGTCGTTCATGATAACCCCACGCGAATACGATACCCGTTATTCATTCTTTTTTTTAGCACTTTCGCCTATTTAAGTGTCAGTATTTCGGACAACAGCTGATATCTTCGGATTATGAATTTCGCATATTTTACACATGGTGCTCATGTACCGCAATTAAATACCGCATTATCCGGCTATGTACATACATGTTTTTTAATTAAATCGTTCCGGTTATTAATCTCACCGATAATGCCGGATAAAAACGTAACTTTTGAACTTTCATTCGTGCCTCGCTACTCGTTATCTAAACGTAATGCTAAATATATGCAAACTTATTTTCGACTGCTGCAACGATGAGATCAGTTTAGGAAGCAAACTGCGCGACATTGATTGCCGCACTTTACGAGCAGAACGAGTGGAACATAGTGGCTTTATCAAGTGTTTGGTATGTTTAGAATGAAACATTTAAAATGTGTCAAGTTGATTATAAATAAACATGTTCTGTAAATAGCGGAGTAATCAATTTTTTTTCAAAATGTTGGACAATTTCAATGATATTTCTTCTTTCCTCCTTTTAATTTTTTTTTTTGAATATAAATGTCAAAAATCTGCACTACAAGTGCAATTATATTCATGCATTTCGTGATAAAAAATATTTTCTTCACTACGGAACGTCTTCTTTAGTATACGTATATACAAGTCATAATCACATTAATACAAAAGATGTCTTTTTTGGTTTATCTCCCGTATAAATTGAGCGTGTTTCGTCATCGTTAGAGGAACAAATTTGACAATTTAGTGACTTATTTGAAGCAACAGTAATATATAATGTGTGTTCACTGCAGAAACTTCAATCTCTTGGCTCTCACGATTGCAGTATTGGAAAATAAAGCCATAATTGGCGCGATACAGATAATAAGTCAACGCTTATCAAAATGCCAAAGACTCTATAATCACGCAATACGCGATAATCGGCCACAACGTGGCCGGTGCGCCGATAAACTCTGTCAAACTTGTCCGATCGTCGTCATCGTCGGCGAGGCGTGCAAAGGCAAATTGCGCTTATAAAAATTCAAATTTGCCCGAAAAAAGCGCCGGCTAGTAGCAAGACCGATCGGTTTCTCACCGAGTTCCTAAGCAGGTCGTTGATCTTATTTTGTTTCCGTTTTTTTTTCGCGAACGCGAGGACCTTAATAACAGGTTGCGGTTCTACCGCCACTATTACGTGTTTAGCAGCAAGTGGCTCGAAGACAGTTTCGCCCGAGGGACTCGTGCGGCGGCGGACCGTTTGGAGTTCCTCCTGCTCCTTAACAAGTGTATATTATACACGAAGCGTATACAGGGTGTCCCCTAAAACACGCGATATCTTTAATTGCTTCGTCTTCGAATATCGTCTACGCTACTCGCATTTTTCAATCTCTCGTACACTTTGCAGGCAATTTATAATAAATTACTCACAATGTGCTTTATTATAATAAGAATAGGTGCTTTATATTATAGAATAATTCGTCGAATCAATTGGTTGTTAAAGTAATTGTCACCGCATGAAATTTATAATTAACAACAATGGATCTCCTATTCGATTCTTTCGGCAAAAAATTGTAGAGACAGAAGAACTTTCAAAAGATTCGAAATGCACGAGTTCCGGGACACCCACTATAACGTAATATAAAGGGGACCTGCACTCAGGGAGGCACGGAGTTTCGATAAGGCCCATTATCGCCTTGCGAGAGTTCTCAAGAGAAGCGACAGAGCGGGATCAATTTCAAATCGAAGTTGTTAGAAGATGTAACAAAGATCGAAAAAAGCATAAAACTCTGATGATTCGATTCTAAACGCGTCGCGTTAACACAAAGCAAATAAAAAAATAGATATTTAAATGAAGTATTTTTTTAATTAACAGTAATTTATTTATCATTTTATAAAGATTGGGAAAAAATTGTTTTCTGTTTCAATATGTAGTCTCGTTCTGTTTCGCTCTTTGTCGTTTTAGATCTCTCTATATTGTTTTCAAGTATTTATATATATGTTTCTTCAATTTAAATAAAATATGCACGCAACGAATAAACTATAGCGTTTGTCCGGTAAATGGTATAGTTAACAGCAGCGATATGTTGGATGTAAGAGCCAGTTATATAATTGTTACTTCGGCACTATTAAGTTACAAGATGCTCATCAGCAGCGATGATACGATGCAATTCAGTGTATGTACAATGTTGCATACGAGAGCATGTATATACGCGAGTCACGCCGGGCAGATTGCCGAGTCGCTGAGGTTAATTTACTTGATGTTGCCAAGGAAAACGTGATCGGTGTTGTGTATGAAATATTACCACTCGCGGTAATTAATTCTGAGCAAACTATGGCGCTTGGTTGGCATGATCTTTGGGATAACGCTACCTATTACTAAGATATGAAACGAGTTCTTGCAGTCGTGCATTAAAATTTGTAAAAGAGAGAAAAAAACACTTTACAAAAAATGACCGCCATTCGACACATATCGCATTTGATAATTCGTTGCAAAAGAATTTTAATAATATATTACACATTGCACATATCCTAAATATATCCAATGTTTTTAGGAAACGTAAGTGAAACGAATATGTGCTACCTGGGGTTTTTCACGTTTGTAATTTGTACCTGAGACGTTTGTAAAAACATTCCTTTTAATGCACAATTATTTCTTTTAATACACATCAGCATGTATAATTTGCGCTTGAGTCGTTAGCCAATTTTCCTTTTCGCTTAGTTTCGTTTAACCACCTTTATCCAAATTTTATTTATTAAATTTATTTAATCTCTACCGTGAAACTAGCTAAGAAGAAAAATTCGTACTAATATTTTTTTCCGTAAATAATTTTCTTAAAATAGTTTAAGTAAATTAAGTAAATACTCAACAATAGATACATAGAGTGTCCGTAGAATTGAGACAAATTATCTCAAAAATAATGACAAATATAAAAAATAATATTATAAGCTGTATATTTGCTGTTTTACTATTGTGCACACATTTATTAACGATTTGTTCCAATTCTGTTAAATACTCAAAGACAGAGAATAAAAAAAAAAAAAAACTTACGGGGTTGCGCCAAGGCAAAAACGCTCTCTGTCTTTGCAGCATACTCGTCGACTTCCTCATGGTGCGTGATACCAGGTTCGAGAGGCTGCGGTTGGTCGGCCTGCATCCCGTACATGTCCATCAGCTTCGAGATCGGTGGGATTCTTGGCAGAGCCCTGCCTGTCATATTGGGCGCCTGCTTGAGACCGAGCTTGTTCAGGATCTGCTCCTTGATCGCCTCTAGACTGAGCGCGCGGAGTTCCTCATGCATCCTGCAGGCATTACAGACGTTACCGGCCATTGCCAAGTGGCGGATGTGAACTCTCTCGATGCCGGGAGCGTCAAAGGCACCGAGGAGAACCAGCGGGAGTAGCAGCAGCGCCCTCGTGACCATCTTTGTTCAAGGTCGCCCTTGGTTAAATCAACTACGATCGGCCTTCGTCGCGAGAGGAACGATCAGATGATCGATAGCATTGTCACTCGTTTTCGCCGAGTCTTTATTTTTCCTCGGAACAAAGCTTAAATTTCTTTAGCTTCGTTTCTTTTCTTCCGCGACCAAAGTTCTTCGATTGTTCTCAATGTACGCTTGGCTATGCACTTCCTTTTCTTCGCTATTTCTCTTTTCTTTTTGATAACAGTCTCCGCTACTCTCGCGTAGAAAAAGCCTTTCTTCTTCACTGTTCTTCTTCGTTTTCCGCTTCTACTTCTTCCCGCACAACTTGGACTACTTCCGCAAGGAAAGTCTCTTTCTTCGTCGCTTATCGCGCAATGCCAACTTCTTCCTGAATTTGCACAACCATACGTTCTCTTCTTCGAGAAGCTTCTTGGTTCCCTTGATGTGGAGCTCGTCACTGCGCCTTGGAGTCGGTGTTCCACCGGAACTAGGCGACCGGCCTTGATCACAATTGCAATCCGCACGATCCAGTTTCGCTTTCTTTCTGCCTTCCTTGCGGATCTATCAACTTTGTGGAACCTTGAGTCTTCAACAACGAGTCCTTTTCTAGGCTACAATGCGATCAGATTGAAAGAGTTATCATCGGTGTCACCCGCTCCACTTAAATGGGTTCACCAAAAACTGTTCTCACGCACACCAATCACTGCGAGAGAGAATCACAAGGCACTTTCAGTGTTTCGTTGTAACTGTGCGAAGTGTCTCGGATATCATGCGGCCCGCTGCATCATTGTGACCTTCAGTCCTGGCGCCAGTCTCTATCGTTCCAAGACACGCATCGCCATGTACCGTTCAGTGACAGATCCTGTTCTTTATCAGGCGTGCTTCAAATGTCACGGCACCGAATCCGTACCGGTTACTTCTCAACCCTCGAGAGCTGGGTCAACCCTGTTCCACCTCTCCTCGCTTATATATCCCGCGGTTCTTTGTCGTTTCCTGCCTCGTGACTTTACACTTCCGGTACTCTGACTCAGCCGGCACCACTGAGTGCTACTACTACGGGGACCAGTCTCGGCGCGTCAACTAATTTCACCCTCTCTGTTCTGAAGACACCGCTTATCCCAAAAAATCCGGCGGGACCCCGAAGAAGGCGGCGACGACGAGGAAGACGATCGTGCGTGACGGCGGAGGCAGCGGTGATCCGTGGACGGACTGGTAAAACCCAATGGATCCTAAGAGCTTGCCGGCCTGTCAAGCACTGAGACAGGAGGCGCGAATTCTCACCGCATATATGTCCGAGGTGGAGACCTCCTTCTCTCTTCTTCTTCTTTCTTCTTCCCTCTCCCTCTCTTTCCCTCTATCCTCCGTCGCTCCGACGCTGTCTCCCTCCTTCGCGCTCACGCCACGACGTCTTTCTTTGTCTCTTCTCTCTCGTAGTATCTTACGCACTCACGTCGTAGGGGCCGAACGTATACCTACACCCGCCGCCAACAAATGTTCCTCTTCTC